CCGGCCTCGGCGCGGCGTTGGCGCTGTCCGCGGGCGAGCGGAGGTCTGCCGGAGCTGGAGGTGACACTCGCCAACTTCAGGGACGGGGAGGAAGCGCTCGGGGGACTGTGGGGTGTCCCAGGGCGGTGACGGCAGGAGAGCCGCGCTCCCGTAGCCTAGCGTGCGTGGGTTATAAACGTTCAGCCTGCCGTGAACATGCTTCCATTATTGCCAACCTAACATGAAAATAACACCATATTCCCCCTTCTCCCCGACTTTTTCCTCCCTCTATACCGCTGTTCTCAGTCAGGAACATCTCATAGCTCGCTCTAGCACCTTCCATAAGCAAACGCAAGCCCACTTCTCCCCAGAGCAAGACAACTCTTTGACATCCTTTTGTCCAGCAGAGAACACGGCACTCCGCAGTGCTGCTGTGCCCGGGGAAGGCGCCCTCCCTGCGACCCCATGGACTCTTAGAGCTACTTGGCAAAGCGGGATTACAACCCGTTCTGTTGTATGAATGTTGCTTACATCCCCAACACGCGAGCGCAAGAGAAGATGAAAAATGAAGCTCCTAAGTGCAGTACACAACACACCAGACTCTCTTATACTTCATTACCCCTGTACTGAAATATTACAGTTGAACTTGCAAATACTGTCATAGTGGAGTAATCTTTGCCTTTCCAACCTATATGTTATAACTGCCCAGAACCCCTTGCCAGTGCTGCATTTTTGCCTCTCCTTACCTGAGATGCAGAAAACTGGCCTTTATCAGGCTGTATTCAGACTTCTGAAGCCTGTCAAAGGCACAAAAGGTAGAGGAGATCTCCAAATTAAAACTAAAAATAATTATGTTTTTCAGTGAGCTTGGAATGGACTTGACATTTGTGATCTTTGGCAGTTAAACAAAGGCAGAGGGCAGGAATGAGGACCACTGAGAATTAATCAATTAGTACAAATGAGAGTAGCGATACTTCAAATGACAACTGTCGATGTTGACATCTCTTCCCACCACAGAGCTGTCTGACTTAAGGTTCTGCTCCTGTGATTTACTGTGCAGAGGAACACAGATCACACTGCTGCCTTCCTGCTCACAGGTAGAGGTTTATTCACCCTGGTGCTGTGAGTGCACTGCAGCCCAAGTGGAGTTGGTACTGCACTGCTGCTGCACACAGGCTAATCAATCCCCCAGTTAGTAACAAAGCTGGGAGAGCAGCTATTGAAGTGATGAAAAGAGCGGCTCAACAGAGAGCCTCCACTTGTCATGAAAGGAGTTGCTTTGGCTTGTCTCTAGCTTGAGAAATCAGAACACTTTGTAACCCCAAGGCTTGGTTAGCCAAGGATTTGCTGCTCTTTTGGAAACTGTTTGCAATTATATTGCACCATTTCTGAGTCTACGTCAAGTGTTCAAGGCATGAACTTATAAAAGACTGGGATAAGGCCTTTGCCAAATATTTAAGACTCACTTTTTCCAGCTGAGTCATAGTGGCAGATAAAGCTTTAAAAAAATAGAAAAAATAGTGGCAAGACAAAAAAAAGCCCCTGAAGTTAAATCCCTGATATGCAAATAGGTCTTAAAGTTTGAACAGTTACGGTTCTTGGGTTTTTTTAAGAGAGAGGGTTGGCATCTAGAAAGCTGGTCTGCTGTTGCTTTTCTTAGCTGAACTCCTTAAACCCATCACTTGGTAGCTCTTTCACCTCTTCTTTTTTTTTTTTTTTTTTTTCACCCAGTGCTTTGGATATTGTGTATTTTTTAGGAACTGTTTTGGGTGCTATCTGGTATTTGAGAGTTCGTTTTGAACACATGCTGGCAGCATGAAGTACTGCCCCCACACATCCATTCAAGTTACGTGACTGTGACAGGGTTTTTGGTTTAAACAGTTTTAAGCAAACTGTACTAAAGGTAAGCCTTATAGGTAAGAAACTCAGTGCAAATCCCTGAGGCTTACTTTGAAGTTTATGTGCACTGTGTAACTTGAGAGATTTTTATCTAGACAATGTGACTTTTCACTCCCAAGCAGAAACTTCGGCTTCTGGGAAAGAGGGAAGTTGGCACCACCACCACCACCACCACCCAGTAAAGAGGTTACTTGGTCTTTTATTGCAGATGTTCTGGCTGCCAGCCTGGGTGACTCTTTCTGTAGCATCTGCTGGGGAAGTTCCCTATGGACAGTACTGGCTTAATAGCTGCCTTAGTAAGGTCTGAACAATGTTACCTTTTAAGTGCTTAGTAAAAGGCAGCTAATTATTCTCCCCATCAAGGTAAATAGACTGTTAAGGAATGAAAACATTCTTGAGAGAGGTACAGACTTGGTGTTGGCATACTGATGTATGAAACCTATAGTGTAGAAACACATCTCAGTCTCTTAATTGCTGAATTAGCTTGTAGAATGCCAAGGAACAACTTGCTAGCTCCTCAGGTGGATTTATTCTAAAATGTCACTGATGCATTGCAAAGCACTACAGACTTGTGCTGTGCTACTCACTTCTGACTTGTCATAATGAAAGTCCTGCTTCTGGCTGGGAAAGGTGTGCCACTACCCTTGTACTAGAATTTGAAAATCCTCTCCACAAACATATACCAGTAGGACCTGCTGGTTTTGAATGGTCTTGGGATGGAAGATGATAGAAGGAAGGGCTGTGAGCACTATGGAAGCTGATTAATAAGCATGTGGAAAGATACTGGCGTTTGCTTACTAATGAGGTGTGCAAGGAACCTCCCCAGGCTGCTCCTCTGCCTGCAGGAACCAGCAAGGACGAGGCTCCAGCAGCACGTGGCAATCAGACAGAGCAGCTGAGCGCTGACTGCGGGGAGAGCGGTGGGAGCATCGTCTGCTCTCTGCTGCTGAGGGGTCTGAAGGAAGGTCAGGAGGCTCTAAGAGCTGCAGAGGAGCAAGAAGAGTCAGTGGTGGTGTGATGAGTGTCTGCCAAGTCAGGTGACTTGAGTAGGAGCATGAGAGCTGTCTTGAGGATAGCAGGACACCAGGGTGGCTAAGGAAAGATGAGTCAGGCAGGGGAGAACAAGAGCAACTGGTTGAGGAAAAGCAGGATGCAGTTGTGAGATATGGAGCTGGTAGAAATACTGTTGGGTGACAGGTTCTTATTTGCTCTGGGACATGGTAATCTTTAGCTTGGATCATGAGGAGGGGACAAAACCAACAAGGTAGGAATTCTTTATTTGCAAGTTTCACCTTGCATGAGAACCTAGGCAAAACTGAATATTGTATGGCTTCAAGAAGGGACTGCCCATCGTGGGCCTCAGGGAGAGTGATATTTCCCTGCTCAGTAAAGAGTTGATAGCAGCAGACGCTGTTTCTTTTTGATCAATAGTGTGGAAAGAGAATTCAGTCTCATTGCCAGCTGTATAAAGGAACCTCCAGTGAAGAGCTAGGCAGAGTATGTGGGAAGTCGCTTGAGGAAGATAGAGCTGCAGAAGTCTCTAATAGTAGGTACTTTACCTAGGATGGGCTGTGGGATACAGCAGAAAAAGAGTTTTCAACCTTTAGCTGGTGGATAGTGGAGGGTCACACAACCATACGAGCAAACTGACTACAGATACAAGACTATTGGAATATCTGCATTCTTAGAAGTCCAAGAGTTTTGCAGGTTGAAGGGCATTGACACTGAAACTTCATAGTAAAAATAGTCACAATTAAATGGTTCTTTGTTCTGCAGCGGTTGCACTGATTGTTACAAGCAACTGGCTCTTGCAGGAAATACCAATATTTAGAAATGGGTAACTTGTTCTGAGATTGATTTGCCTGTTTAGATAATGCTTACATGCTTAGAATCAACTTACTGTTTGGAGCATTATCATTTAAATCTTTGCCATGGTGAGGAGGCCAGATTGTGGAATGAAATGCAGCTACATCACAAATTATAGTTATGCTCTTAAAGTGTAGTCATTTGTAAAGTTTGGGAGCTAAAGGCTCAGTAGTGACACGTGGCCTTATTGAAGCTGAGAGATTTACAACATTAGTCCTGGGAGATTCTAGAGCTTTGTTCCAGCCTTTTGCTCTTCTGACAGACAGTCTTAGGTTGGTTTTTATCCATTTCTTTATTCTGGAGACAGAAAGCCCAAAGCAATTGTCTGTAGGCACTTTAAACTAAAGCTTCAAGAATGGGTGACCCAAAGACTGCTGCACGTGTCCAGCTACAGAAGTCAAGCTGCTGTGACTTCAGGGCTGGATCTAGCAAAAGTATGACATGATGTTTATGCAGAGATTTGTACTGCTGAATGTCTGGAGCACTTGGGAGAGACAGACTGTAGGAAACTTCAAGGAAGGAACATTTCCAGAGGACTGAGGCAGCTGCAGATCATTGATTTCATACAACTTTGTTCTATTCAATGCAGTCTGAAGTAAAGCTGGGTAGTTGGGTTTAATTACCTTTCTGTTCAGATATTTGTTGTTAAATCTTTTCTCTCCATTCTTCCCCTTGGAAAAAAAGTTATCTAATATATCTGCAGTACTTTTACTCCAGAAACATCTAAGCAATTCACAAAGGCTAGCAGATAGCATGTTTTGTTATGAAACAAGTAATCTTTATTTCCAGTTTATATATGAGGGAAACAGGCTTGGGACTGGGCTTGCCCTTAACGATACGAGTGAGTGACCTGCCTAAAACAGGACTAATGGTGGGAGTTTTATTCCTTTGACTTGACTCTATCCATGTTGCAATGTATAATTAACTTCTTCCTTATTCTTTGGCTGCCTAACTGCAGCTTAGTTTTACTAATTGGACCACAGCTGCCCTCCCTCTGCTGGAGAGTGGTCTCTTGCAGGAGCACCAGCACAACATACTTTCCCCAGATATCTGTTTGCCCTGGGTGATTTTGGCTTGCATTCACTCTCACTAACTTTAAAATAGATCCTGCTGCTAAGAACACCGTGGATGGCAGCATGCTTCCTGCTTCTGACAACAGGGCCGGTTGGTACCTACGAGCTTACAGAGCTGTAAAACAAGTCTGACCTCAGTGGTTTTTTGGAAGAGAACCATGTGTGGTTTTCTCTTGGCTTTTCTGTGCAATCCCTCATTCTCCTTTCCTTTGCCAGGAAATCCCTTCTCCTGCCAACAGGAGCCAGTGGAATGTGCTGTTTGTTTACCTTCTCACTCCTTCATCCTACTAACCTTACCACCTCCCAATTGTAATCCTAACAGGCTTGGCTCAGCCCTTCGTTCTTCTGACAGAGCACTACTCAGTTGAGTATTTTCAGATAAAAGGATTGCTTCAATACACCGTTCTGACCATGCTCTGCTTAGTAGGGGTGAGGCTGTGGCGTTCTGCAAGGCTGAGGCTGTCCTCTTGCCTGTCTGTCTGTGCCCTGGCTAGCAGCTGCTTCGTTCAGTGTTGCTGTGTGTCATTATGATGTGCTACAGGACAGCAGGAAAGAGCACCCTTCCCAAGCTTTTCCCTTTTCCAGCATTCCCCTGTGTGGTTTTGCCTTTTTGGAGTAATAAACTAGGAGTACTTTCTTCTCATGGATTCCCTACTGCATGAACTGAAGGAAAGCTTCCAGTTATTCCCTCCCAGCAATACTGGTACTTTCTAGCCTGACCTGCTGTTGCTATTCCAGACGGCTTAACTCCACTCTTCTGCCCCCTTTCAACAGTTGGCTCTGTAAAAACATCTGCAAGGCATTTATTATTTTTAAAGCCATCTGAAATTCCTGGATGAAGATGTTTGTACTGCTTAGAACAAAAAAACCCCCACGTGCTTAGAGTAGTTGATGAGCTTGCTAAAGGTAGAAGTGTGTTTTCTGGACTTACAATGTGCTGCCATCCCTGGTTAGAGAAGCCCTTAAAACTCACTGTTTCCCCAGGGTTTTATAATAATCCAAGTGAGGAAATCCTGCGTTTACAGCATTTATGCAAATTGCCATTTTGAGACTGTCCCCTCTTTGATCTATTCACATACTTTGTCTTATCTGACTTTAGCTGATTGGCAAGGATTATAAATCCCTTAAGCAGGGACTGTGCTCCCATTTGTTTTGCAGCCTGGACACTGTCGGAGCTTTCCTGGGGAGCTACATGAATAGATTGAATTTTATGCTGTCCTGCTGGAAGACTTTATAACAGGTCTGTGTCTGGGGAGGAAGCAGTTTGTGCTCTTGACGCTTCCAGCACTAATGCTTCCTTAACACTTCTCTGTAGCACCTAATAGTTTACCACTCGGTTGCATTTCTTTATACCATCACTCAAGTCTTTGCACAGTCTTGGATAAATATGTGTATAGGGAAGGCTATGGCAGTTTGTTTTCCGTTCTGTTTCCTCCTCTCCCTTTCTGTTTCTCTACTATGCTAAAGAAAAGGTCTCACAACTGTTAGCCTGGGTAAAAGCCTGAGCAACAGAGCACACAGCATCTACACCAGCAGTAATCATGTCCCCAGCTCAGTGGTTCAGAAAGCAGGAAACTTGCCACCAGCTCTGCAACACACCAGAATTTAGTATGGGGAGTTCAGGCATCAGCATACGATGCTTGGAAGTAAATGAAGCTGTACAATAAGAATGTCTGTTGACTGATTTGCTGTTTCTCTGACATTCTGACGCTTTACCCCTCTCTACAGAACAGCCTGCCCGCCGGAGTTGTTGCTGGAGACTGTTCTGGAGCACATCTGATTGCTGCTGCCCCGAGGCCCCAGCCAGCCAGCCACCATGTACTGCCTTCAGTGGCTGCTCCCTGTCCTGCTCATACCCAAGCCCCTCAACCCAGCATTGTGGTTCAGTCACTCAATGTTCATGGGCTTCTACCTGCTCAGTTTCCTCCTGGAACGGAAACCTTGCACGATTTGTGCCTTGGTCTTCCTGGCAGCTCTATTCCTCATCTGCTACAGCTGCTGGGGGAACTGCTTCTTGTATCACTGCACAGGATCCCAGCTGCCAGAATCGGCTCACGATCCCAGCGTAGTGGGCACCTAAAACCCAATAATCTTCCAGTCTGCTGAGGGCTCTTGTTTTGCTTTTAAAAAGGGGGTGGGCTAGGGAGGAGGGAGGGGGTGTTAGGCATGTGACTGGAGTAAAAACAGCCTGTTTCCTGTAACTGTGTGTGGACTAGAGTGGTAAATTCCTCCCACTCTGCCTGTGAAATTCGACTTGTTTACTGTGTGAACTCTGGCAGCACCACCTGCTTTTTTCGAAGCAGAAATCTTTTTTCCTTCCCATATCATTGGGAATGGACACTAGCCCTCCTGAGAACCGGTGGAAGACCGTGCTGCTGGCCTCTGCCTGGGTGCTGTGCGGCAGTGGAGTTGTGTGTCACTTGTCTGCATTAGGCCAGTGGTCTAACTCGGGACTCGTGGCCCACTGATTCTACTCAAGTAGCTACAAGATTCTCTTCATCTTCCTCTTCGTGGGGAGCCAGCCTTCCCACCTTGCTGATCAAGGGCAAGCTCAAGAGCTCACAGATGCACTTGGCCAAAAGCTGCTGGAGCCAGAGGCAGTTGAGTCATCTCCTCCTGCTCAGCCTGCCAAAGAGATGCATGCACTGCCGAAGTGCTTTCTGAACTCCTTATGCTCCGAGATCATAGCCTGAAAGCCTCAGTTATGCTGCTGCTTTTATAAAGCCTCACAGGTAGTGGAGACTCTCTTCCCGTCCTCATAGATTTCCAGGGTTTACCAAGGTATTGACTGTTGGGATAAAGAACCAGTATGCTGCAAGATGTGGGGTTTTGAAAGCTGCTGTGAACCTCACCCTATAAAACTCATGCTAGCCCAAAAAGCCAGCAGTGGGCAGGGCAGGAGAGGTGGAGGTATGGCTTGAAGCAGTAAATGCTTCAGCTGTTTTTAGTGATGGTGTTTTGGGGCCAGGGGTGACAGAAGGTGCTCGTGCTACTGACTAGAGAAGGCAGGAGGTGAGAGGAGTGCCTGGTGTCTCCATCTCCCCTGGCAGAAGGATGTCGAGAAGCCAGGGGTGTGTGTGGGGGGGTGTGTGTGTGTCAGTCCTGCACACCACAGCTGTGCAGAGCTCCACACTGCATACATTACTGTGCAGCCATGGCTCTTGGGGAGCCCAACCTGGGGCAGAGGTTTGTGGGAAACCTTAGAAGTTAACACAACATACTGTCTCTAAACTTTAAAGGGTTCCCTCCCCTTTGCCGTCTTCAGTCAGGTAGTGGAGAGCAGTAGAAGTGGCTGTTGCAGTCCCCAAGAAGCTCAAGCTATGAGGTTGTGAAACTTCCAGAGTATTGTTTGTTCATTGCACAGCTGTTCAAAATGTTTAATAAAGCTTTATAAACTTTGGTCTGTGGCCTCCTGCCCAGCATGATGCATTGGGTGTTCATTGTGGATGCCTTTGCCCAGCAGTCATGTGTCTGTGTTGTTCTGTTCCCAGCACAGAACCGGGGGAGTTTCCAGCAAGAGGCAGAGCCTGTTTGCCCTGTAGCTCCCGATACTGACTCTTCCCATTAACTGTTGAACCTGACCGTGGGCAGACTGAGAACCGTACTGGTGATTCCCAGACTCACAGCACAGGTTTTATCTCTGCACTTACGTGACAGATTCGGCCTTTCCTTATCGCTTACAAAATTAAACCAGAGCTGCCACTAGTCCCCAACCCTGGCAGGAAAGGTGAGCCCATTGCAGGACACGGCATCTTCCTGACCTGTCCCTGCTCTGGGCAGAGACCGGGCAGCAACCCAGCTGCCACCAGCCATCCCGGGGGAGATGTGGTTGTGTCAGCCCTTCCCTAGCCTTGGCTGTGACCCCATGCAGTACCAGGGGGACAAGGGGGACACATGCTTCAGCCAGACAGGGGACTCAGATCTGACAGCACCCAGGAGCACCTTGGAGAGTTAGCCAGTGCTGCTGGAGCTGAAAACAGCTTCCTTTACCCTTGCTGCAAGCCCTGAAGACCAAGTCCAAGTTGGAAAGTGTCCAGGTCATATCAGTGTTCACATGTTTTAAAAAAAGCATGTGCCACATCACCAATAATAGGCATGACAGCTCTGTCACCTGTCAGGCCAAGGGAAATCCCAGTAGCTGTCATCAGCTCCATCATAAATAAATAGAAAGGAGAGGGGAAGGCCTCTCATTTGCAAGCTATGGCAAGACTGTTGTCTGTGCTCTGAGCAACTTTTAAGTTTAAATTTATTCAAGCTAATGCAGTCCTTTTAAGAGTACATTTTTGCTGCTAACTAGCGAAGTTGTACTCTACAGCAATTTAAATAAATCCTAGCCACAAAGCCAGACAGTTCTTTGGATGAGAGCAAGCCCTGGCTTTGTACATGTACAAGGCAAGATGCAGCTGCAGGCTTCCCCTTCTGCGGGACCCAACTCGGAGGTAAAAGCACTTCAAAAGGGGAAGCTTCTGGTGTAGTGACAGGAGAGATCTCAGCAGACTGATGTGTAAGAAACCTACTTTTTACAGCTCTCCCACCTGAACTGTAGTTCAGGAGTGCTCTTTGATATGCACACAGCCCTCACCAGCACAGTGTCTTGCCCTCTTTAGGGCACAGAGATACCATCTTCATTTTAAAGATAGAAAATTAAAGCAAATTCATCATGGTCAGACAAAGCCTCAGGCAGAGTGAGGAACCCAACCAGGTCCCACTTCTCATGCTAATGCCCTGCTTGTCCTTCTCTGTAGAGACACCATGAAAAACCAGCCTGCGACTGCAGAACAGGTTGAACCTGATGGCATTTGAAAAGCAGCATCACAGCTTCTCTGCTTGTTCACGGCAAATTGGACTGAGCCCCTACAGACGAAGTACCTCTGCTCTCGGGCAGGCGTTTGCTGGCTGCACAGAAAGCAGCTCAGATGTTCTGCCCTGGTCTCACGGAGCTGCTCTGCCAGAAGATCAGTGGGGTTGCTCCATCCCCTGGTATCTTGGAGGCACTGAGGGGTCTCTCCCTGGGGACTGCAGTGGTGGGCAGTCATCCCAGGGGTGTATCTACACTAGTGACTCTGAAAGCAGTGGGGTTTATAACACAACTGCTGTGTTGTGCCAGGTCCCATCAAGCCTGGACACAGCCCGCAAGGGCTTTGGCACAGAGCTGTATTACAAAGTGTCCATCTGCCTGGTGCTCCCTAGATACAGGGAGCAGGAGCCTTAAGCTGTTCCTTTGTCTTTCCATTGGAAGGAGAGATAATTTTCTTTTCTAGGTCACATAACAGATCAGTAACACATCAGGGTCAAGAAAGAAAAAAAAAAAACAAACCAGAAAACAAACAGCCAAACAAACCCAGGCTCAGATCCCTAGAAAAAGAGATGCAGCTTAGCTCAGGCAGACCTCAGGCTCCTCCCTGCAGACTCAGGGTCTGGGGGCTTCTCACTCCCCTCCTTACCACTCCTCAGGGAGAGGCAGCATCCCTAAGATGAGCCACTGGGACACCATGAGGCTTCCCATGGAGAAGCTTTGGCCATGACTGCCAGGCTGGTATGGCTTTTTGAACCCTAGAGCTTTCCAGACATCCATGTTGGTGAATCTCATCTCAGGGGCTAGTGTTTGGCAGTTGAGCTCCCAGCACTGCTCAGGGTGCAGGCAGGGAACCAACTGTCAAGGGCCACCACGGCCACCAGCCTGCTCTCCCAGTGTCTGCCCCTCCATCTCTGGATCTTGTCAGTCAATTAGTGCCTCTTGCCTGCACGCTGTCCCTGCTACCCTGAGACAAGCGCACAGCACAGCCTTACTAATTTCGTAGCAGAAGCAAGACACTGATCCCACTGAGAAGCCATTTGGGCTGGAAGCACCCCCAGCCAGCTCAGAGAGGCAGCCAAGTCCAAAGGTGCAGCCCCGCTGCTGACTGCACTGGGTTTCCACAGCCTCCAACCTTATCCTCTGATGTTGTTACCGTGGGTCTGATCCAGCCAATCCCCCTGAGCCAGGGAAGGCACAAACATCACTCAGGGCCACAGAGCCCTGCCCTGCCTGTGCCCTTTGGTCTTACCTGTCTCTTACTCCTTGCCCTGGAGCAGTTTCCTAGCCTTCAGCGACTGTGGGAGGTAAGATAGACGTCAGGTAAGGACTTCAGCCTTTCCCTTTGGAGCCTGGAAATGAACCCTTGGCAAGAGGGTTTTGCTACACCTCCAAGCAAAGACAAATCCTCTGGTAGAAGAGCAAGGGCGGACGGGTGGCTTGGGTGCCACCCCAACCTGCTGCTGGGGGTATGAGATCCAAGTGGCAGAGTCTGCAGGGGACAGAGGTAGGCTTTGTCTTCCGAGTCGATACATGCCAGCAGCCTCCCGTTCACCTCTTGTCACAGCGAGCAGCAGGCACAGTTGGGGCTGGAGCCAGACCCTGTCCCAAGAGCCTTTTTACTGGGACTGGGCTATGGAGAGAGCCCCAGACCCAGAGCACAGCCCAGGATTTGCTCTGGGGGATCCTCAGCATGCTGAGCAGTTCAGGGCTGCCCCCCACCTACTCACAAGCATTTATCCTCTCAGAGCCTGCGTCAAGAGCCAGCACTTGATGTGCTTTTGGGGTGCTACCACTGAGCTTTGGGGAAAGCAAAAGGGGATGTTCAGGCCAAACAACTCATCCTTGCCATTTTAGATGCCCGTTGCCAGCACAAGCTGCCCAGCACAGGGCCCCCACCTCCTCGCCAGACCTGCTGTGGGGACAGTCACAGCCCCCACCCTATCACCCAAATCCTCTCCCAGGCTTACAGGGTGCAAGTGGGAAGCAAACAGCAAGGTTAAGTCAATTAAAGGAGGCATCTGGGCTAATCCCCAGGAGCATCTGCCTGGCTCAGGCTGGGGATGCCTGGCAGGGGGGCCTGTTGGTCTGAGTGGGCAGAGAGGGGGGGGACTCCATGGCAAAACAGCCACCGAGCACAGCCAGGATGGGATGCAGGTGCTGCCAAGTACCCCAAATATCCTTTTAATATGCCTCAGCTTCCACTGAGGCTGAAAACTGGACACAGAGCAAAGGGGACATAGAGAGGAGGAAACTAGCAGTGCTATAGGCAGGGATTGGAAGTACCAAATCCATCCCCCTCATCCCCTGGGCGTGACTCACCGCAGACATGCTCACTGCCCCAGGGCTCAGGCTGGACTGCAGCACCCCAGCCTACCCACAGCACCCTGACCTCCTCTGTACACCACCCCTATGGCCACCCTGCTCCCGAGCTGTGATGCCAAAGGGGCAAAGCCAAGGGCTGGAGGGTCCTCAGCCCCAGCTCCCATCCGAGAGTGAGCCCACTGACCCACTCCCAGCCCACACATCACACATGGACCAAGGGACTTGCCAACAAGAGATAATCCCTCAATCACTTAATTGTTTTAAAGAGAAGCAAAACATGAAGCATTCAACATTTAAGGTACCAAGACAGAGTCACTTACCAGATTGAGGAGGGAGCAGCCACACACCAGTATCAAGTAACCAGATCCAGAGACTTGGAGTATTAAAGCCACCCCAGACCATGGTGGTGATGAAGGAGGAGCAGCATCACCAAACCACACATCTCTCAGAAGACCTGCTCCCCCCAACCCTGTGTTATAGATCAATTACTTAATCACCAAGTTAGGGATCCCAATCAGCACCGACTAACTAGCCTAACAAAGCCGGCTTGCTTGTAGTTGCTGATGAAGCAGATTCTGCTGAAGGCAGGGCTGCCCTCTGTTCTGTCACCCCCAGCCCAGCTGATGGGGGTTGTCAGTCAGGTCTCCTGCCTGCTGGGCTTGGGGCAGCCAGCTGGCCCTGGCCCTCGGAGCAGGAGGGACACAGTGGATGAAGCTCCTCTTGCAGGAACAGGTGCTAGCACTGTGCTGGACCATGAACCTACATGGGGACACAGGAATGGCTACAGCACCACAGGACAGAAGTGGCACCAGATCCCAGAAGCATCAGCCAGAAAAAGCCTCTGAGGCACCAGGAGCACCACACAGGCATTGCACATGCTCCAGGAACCACTGACTCCTGTAACAGGGATGATAAGAAGTCCTCTCATACATGAGCTACTCGTTTTTGTTTTTTTTTTTTTTTGTGAGGTCTGTTTGTATTTAATTATCAAACTGCGAAGTATTTACAACAACATTAGAGTTTCAAAGCATCTCCACCCCCCACCCCCCACAAAACTGGACCTTTTCAGGTTTTTCTCCAAAGTTTTATTATTATCCAAAAAAAAAAAAAAGCTAAATATTTTACTTAGACACCAAAAAAGGCAGGTGGGGGGAGAGGGGAGCTGGAGAGAGAGAGAGAGACAGATCCACATGTTCTCTGCATAGTCGGAGATCTTACAAAACACTGTTTAAAAAAAATGGTAACAGCAGTGAGGAGTAACTTGTAGGGAGTTACTGGCCCTGGGAAGCCAAAGAGCATCCCTAGGTAGGGGCTCCCCTTTGAAGTTTATTGGCTTAAAAAAATAAATTGGCAGACAACAATGGTGATGGAGGAGAGGATCTTGATCCCTGGGGCCTCCTGGTCAGGCCAGCTGCAGCAGCGAGTCTGGAGATGCTGGGTTGCACTGAAACCGCTGCACAGAAACATGGATGGACACACGGACATGCAGACACACAGCCCCAGCCCCATGCAGGAGGGTTCCTTGAGGATTGCTTTACTGTCTTCTGCCCTGAAATGTCCCCAGCATGTCTCCTTCGTCAGAGCTTGCCAAAAGCCATGGGGAATTAAGCCAGCCTGGGGTGTTCCTTGCGCCAAGGCTGCGGTCCTGCTCTGCTGCTTGCCAGAAAGAGCCAGAAAATGAAACCGCTGGGTTAATCTCCTTCCCGTCCCGCTGCGCTCACGCAAGACCCTGTATGTGCTGCAGACAGCCAAAGGCCAAACCTTAACATGTCCACTTGTCTTCTCTCTCCCCAGCTTCCCGATCAAATCTAGCTCCTGCATGTTAGTTTTAAGAGGTTTCTCCTGGGGATGGGGATTTTGTATAGTTTAGGCAGAGCTATGGCACAGGCCAGCCCTTGGTGGCCAGCTGCTGCGGGACAGGGCTTCTTTGGCAGTGCCGATGGGGATGCAGGAGCCACCTAGCCCAGGAATGGAAAGGCAGAATATCAAGGTTTGGAGAGCTCCTGCCCAAATGCTGGGCACAAGAAATCTGCTAGGAAGTGGGGAGAAAAGTCTCCAAGTCCCAGAATGATTTAAAAAACATCCATTAAACCAGTCGCTGTTCTCTAAACCAGCAGGCTCTCTCCATACTGCCGAAGAACCTGTTCAAGCTGATTTCAAAGGTTTTACTTACTCAAAAGGAGCCACCAACCAACCGAGCACTTGGTTCATAAATAAGTGGCTAGGGAGCTGCAGGAGCGAGCAGGAGGCAGAAGCATGCCTGGGCCCTGCTCCGGCAGAGGTTTGGGGACGGGGTTTGGGCTGCCCCCCTGCCCATACTCAGCTCCCACCCAACTTTCATGAGACACTGGCAGTGCAGCGGGGGCTGGTGAAAGGTGGTTTGGGTCTGCTGTCTGCAAGGAGGCTGTGCCGGAGGGAAACCCCATCCCACAAATGATGGGGAGCCAAAGCAAGCCCACTGCCCGAGCACCGAGAGGCGGGCGAAGCTGCTGGCTCCCCTCTCCAGGTCCTTCCCATGGGTGCGTGCCAGCACCACTGTCCCACAGTACCCCCTCGAGCCCTCAACCCACCCCTGGCCCAGCAGAGCATCCAAAAAGCCCCAAGGTCTTTCTGAGCGAGGCTGCCTGGGACCCGAGAGGTGAGGGAGCAAAGCCGTGTGAGCCACCACGGCAAAGGGTTTCCAGCTGGGTACAGCCGCATGAGGGGGAAAAAAATCAACACATGCAACTAAGTCAATGTTTGGGAGGGCGCAGGGACCGCTCGAGGGCTATGTACAAACAGGCGCTGGGTGGGAGAGCACAGGGGCTGGGTGCTGCCCTGCTGGCCCTGGGTTCAGCTCCGTGGGATGTGTGTGGGGGCAAAGCTGGGCACAGATAGCCACCCACTGCTGAAACAGGACTGAGGCCTTCAGGAGCGAGCAAGGGAGATGAGGATACAAATGTCTCCCATGCAGCACAGCACTTCCCAGGACTCTCCACCAGGATGGTGGCCCATGGTTGGGATGCTCCCACTGCATGGGGACTGCAGCCCAGCAACTGAGACAAAAAGGGTAGGGGGAAGGCAGCTAAAAATGTACCGGGTGAACAAAAACATTTGTGAAAGACAAGTATTTTCCCCAGAATACTCCCACATCCTGAACAGCCACACATGCCATGCACCCAAGCCCTGCGGTGGCACTGGATTTGGTGGCAGGGCCAGCCCGGGGCACTCTGCCGGTGGGAGAGCTGGTGGTGGAGCCAGGGAGGGTGGCTGGGGGGAGCTTCCCAGGGAGCTGGCTGAAAGACCAGGACTGGTTGATGGGAGAAGGTGTAGCTGGGGCAGTGGGGCTGGCAGCAGGCAGAGCGAGGGCTCTGCTGGCACCCCCCAGTGCCACTCCCAGCAGAGATGAGATGGGTCCCTTGTGGGGACAGACACAGCTGGAAGATTCGAATGTGAACCCAGTTAACTCCCACGGGATGGTGTCAGTCACTGGAGCCATGAGCAGCCACATTTCCTGCTGCCAGTGAGGTTGCAGTGAGGCCAGAAACCACCAGCATTCCACTGCCACCCCACACTGGCACCACTGCTCCGGTGCATCGCCCCCTCCCAACCAGCCAGGGATTGTGCCTTCCCCGTGCCAAAACATCTCTGCTGGCGCCCTCGGGAGAAGTGGAGCCAAGGCGGGGATGGCAGGGAGGGCAAAGGGGCAGGGAAATTTGTGCTGATTTAGAAAGGAGGTGCAAGAAACTGGGGCTGTGTGTCCAAGGCAGGGTGATGCTGTCCCCAAGTTCCTCCAGGCTCACCCCAGAGCTGCTGAGGGGGAAAGATCTCCTGAAAGCCAAGTCTCTCGGAGGGAGATGCTCCGCTCGCCCTCTCAAGCCGGCTCTACCAGTGCCCACAGGCTCCTCTCGCCAGCGGGACGGCGCCACTTCATTAAACACAGGCCAGAAGTCTTAATGAGTGATGGGGGGACCCAGCACCTCCCCTGGCCACATCCGGAGATGATGCCCCATCCTGCTCCGGGTCTGCTCCACAAAAAACTGGCCCCTCGGCGGGGAGGCCAGCCCTCAGCGCCCTGCGGTGAGGACGGCAGCGTCCCTGGTGCCAGGAGGAGCTCCGGGTCTATAGGTTCTCGCCAGGCTGGTACTGGGGCTCTGTCGAGGTGAAGTAGTCCTCCAGAAAAGCCTGCAGGTACTCGAAGGTGGGTCGCTCCTCTGGGTCCTTCCGCCAGCACTGGCACATGAGGTCGTGCAGGGACTCGGGGCACTCAGGTGGGCAGGGCATGCGGTACCCCCGCTCCACCTGGTCCAGCACCTCTCGGTTCACCATCCCTGCGTGCGGCCAGAGGAGAGTGGGTATTGATTAGAGCCCAGCCAGATCCTGCACCTGCACCTTTCCCAGAGGGGACATAGAGGGCATCACACTGGGATGAGCCTTATGGCAACTCTGGTGACCCAGAGAGAGAGACACCCCCAGCCTAACAGCGCTTGTCCCTGCCAGCCCGTATCCTTGCGCGCGGACTAGAGTGGGATAGGGTGGCTGTGACCCTGCATCCTGGTCGGGCTCTGCACAGAAGGGCAGGATTTAACCTGGGCAGGGGCAGCTCACCCCCGAGCCCACCCTCCCTACTCAAATTGCAGGAGAAACTTTGCATCAGTTTTCTCCTCCGCAAAGGCTCTGGGCACCACAGAGTGCCAGGGGCAAGTGCTCGGGCACCGCAACAGGGACAGGACTTCTGCTGGCCAGTGCCAGCCCTCACCTGGGTACGGCACTCTGCCCTTGGTGGTCAGCTCGGTCAAGAGGATGCCAAAGGACCAGACATCTGACTTGATGGTAAACCTGCCGTACAGAGCAGCTTCAGGGGCTGTCCACTTGATGGGGAACTTGGCACCTGGATGGAGAGGCAGGGTGAGGGGCTGCTCCCACCCCACATGCCCAGGGGTGTGTGGGGCTGCGAGTGCCTCCAGGACCCCTGTGGAAGCAGGGCCACATGCTGCCTCAGGATGCAACGCGCACCCCTGGGGACCAGTGGCCACCGTTTCAATGCTGCCTGCCTGGGCACGGTGCCGGCGGTGCCGGGGAGTGCTGGGCACGCACCTTGCCGAGCGGTGTACTCGTTGTCCTCGATGAGCCGTGCCAAGCCGAAGTCGGCCACTTTGCACACCAGGTTTTCCCCCACGAGGATGTTGGCTGCCCGGAGGTCCCGGTGGACGTAGTTCATCCTCTCCACATAGGCCATGCCAGATGCAATCTGTGGAGACCAGCACATGGGGCACCGAGGCACCAACCAGGGGTGACACAAGGGTCCCTGGGGAGCCCAACCGGGGTGCAGGAACAGACAGTTGCTCAAGAATACCCAGGGACAGCCGGCAGCAACAGGAACGGGCAAAGTGATGGTTTCTGAGTGCAACCCAGCTCTGGGCTGAGCACCCAGAGGGGATGGTGGCACCCACCCGAGTGAGGCTGCAGAGCACCCCACCACCCAACAGATGACAGCCAAGACAGCCCAGCGAGATGCTCGGGCAGCCAGCACCCTCGGAAGGGGATGTGAGAGGCCTGGGGATGCACAAACCCACCTGAGCCGCCATATCCACGAGCTGGGGCAACCGTAGGTACTTGCCCATCTCACCCTTCAGGAAGTCCAGGAGGCTCCCTGCGAGGAAGACCATGGTCACAGCAATCCGGCGGAGCAGAACCCCTTGGCCACCGCCCCGGCATCCCTCCTGTGCTCACCCTTGCTCATGTACTCGGTGACAATGTAAATGGGCTCCTCTGAAACCACGGCATAGAGCTGAACCAGCTTCTCATGCCGGAGCTTCTTCATGACCTGGGCTTCCTGCAGGAAGGCCTCTGGGGACATGGTGCCAGGCTTCAGCGTCTTGATCGCCACCCGGGTGGTGCCATTCCAGGTCCCTGTGCCACAGGACACACTGCTCAGGACACATTTATGGGGCAGGGAGTCCCTCACCTGCTCCCCCACCCTACTGCAAGCTCCGGGCACCTGTGGATGGCCAGGGAGAAGATGCAGGTGGTGACATGGGGGGGAGCAGCGGGGTGGGAATGGTCCTTACCCATCCACACCTCTCCGAAGCAGCCCTGCCCCAGCTTGACCTCCAGCCGCAGTGATTCCCGAGGGATTTCCCAGGCATCCTTGGCAAGGCCTTGGGTCTGGGGCTTGGACGTGGGGCAGACGTTGGTGAGACGGTGGCATAAGCCATCAGCGTGTTCTAGCACAGGAGGGGACAACACCAGAGTGACACTTGGGCATTTAGGCACATGATGTCTTTACCCCACATCTTCCCTGCAAAACACCTCAAGGCCCTGTACTCAAACCCTCACCCTCCTCCCTAAAACCCAACCACCTTCTCCAGGGTCCCCCCGAGCTGGTTTGGGATCCCCCAGCCCCACACTGGCTTCCCAGCAGCACCTGCCCTGCAGTGAGGGCAGGCACAGCATCCAGAGTGTCACTCAGACCCCAAGGGGACCCCAGGTGGCTACCCACTGGAGTAATAGGCCACCAGCTGCTGCAGGCTGTTGAACTGGGTGCGGGAGGTGATGTAGAAGCCGCCACTGTCCAGCTTGCGGATCTTGTAGTGCTTCACGTTGAGCCCCTTGGCGTTGTCGAAGTCAGAGACAGAGAGGCAGTAGGCACCTGTGGGCAGGACCAAGGGGCTGGGGGGAAGATGCACCGCAGACAGGTGCTCCCCAAGGTGTCCTAACAGGGGGTGGGCGTGGGGGACCAGGGTTGGGCATGCAGGCTGCTGCTTTCACCCAAAAGCAGAGGATGGGGAGCAGCTCCTGGCTGCACGAGCTGGCACCTCATGCCAGGGAGGGATGGCATGTACCCCTGGCTACAGTCACACCACATAATCACAACCACCAGCACTGTGAGGATGGACTGTGCCCCCAGACAAGCACCGAGGAAGAGACCCTGCTGGGTTTAGGGGGGGCTAGCAAGCAATAGAGTGAGCAGCCCCCTGGGACAGAGGGACAAACCCAGCTCTGGAGGCAAAGTGGGGATGCGAAGCAGGGGAGAGGACCAGACAGGAGACTGCTGACTCACAACCCCAACATCTCGGCATCTCAGAGGGGAGCCAAGGGGTTGGCGGGCCCAACTCCCTGCTCCATAAATCCCACCATGGACATTGCTTTAGGTGCCTGTCTCTGCTCTGCCCACACAAGAGCAACACCGTGCTGCTGGGGCCACAGGTAATGAAAGGGAAGGTTTATGCTGCTGCTTGAGTGAAAACTTTTCACTGGAATAAAATAAATAATGGCAAGTTCAAAGCATCAAAACAGAAAGGAACATCAAGGAGCTTTTCTCAAAGGTGCATTTGGAGCCAAAGTAAACTACATTTCCAGGTAAGAAACAGCATCCTCAGCAACCAAACCACAAAGATCAAAACTTGCACTTTCAGGAGACACAAAACAAGTATAAAGAGTCATTAGACTTGAAAGAAGGACCTAAAAATTCATCACTGCCTCTGCCTGGTTGCCCAGGAAGCACTTGTTCAAGATTTTACCACTATATAGGGACAATAAAAAAACAGAAAACACCTATTTGGGGGTGTGAAAAAAACCAAAAAGCCAGGAAAAAAGAGCATCCTGCCTGGTGGTCCTGGCAGAGAGGGTGAGTCACCCAGCTCCCACCCTGCAGCGAGCTGAACCATCTCTTTGAAGGGTGACCACTGGGCAGGCAGCGGTGGGAGAGAAGCAGCTGCATCCCTCCAAGGGAGGGGAAGGTTTGTCAGTGTAATGGTGCCTTCGGCACAGAGATGTCACCCATGATGTAATGGGTGTATCAGCACCTGCTCCCTGGGGACCGGCACCAGCAGGGAGACCCCAGGAGGCTGCCCGTGCTGAGGGGCATCGCCCAGTGACCCCCAACACTGGCTTCCATCTGCAGGGTACAAATCCTTTCTCCTTCTCCCTCCCCATGCACCTGAACTGGGGGAACTGGGACTGCACAGAGTGCACAGACTGGGGTCTCCACACAGATGTTCCCCCTCCTCCAACCCCTGGAGAGGGGCTCCCCCAGACTGGACCCCCCACCCCTGCTCACCTTTCGTGGTCTCGCTCTCCCTCACCAGGAAGGTGCCTCGGGGATTTTCGGGGTTGAGCAGCAGCCGCTCGGACTCCCGGCGAGTGATCTTCCCAAAATACCACCTGCAAGAGCAAGGCAGCGTCTCAGCGCCCAGCACTCGCCCACCCCCTCCATCACCTTTCCAAGCAGCGGGCTCAGCCCTGCCCCCCCCGCTGAAGATTTCAGACACCACAGGCTGTGTCTCCAGGCTTGGGCATCTCAGGGTCCACCATGCCCCTGTACAGCCCGGGCTGGGCATCACCCAAGGAGCACCCTGCACCACAGGCCACAAAACACCTTCACTCCAAAAGCCTCTCCAAACGAGGGGCTCCGGGGACCTCTGAAGCCCCCCGAGCTGTTGCTGGAGGGGATGCCACACTGCTGACTGGGGACAGGGTCTGGGGATGTGGCTGGCACCTCCTGCTCTTGAACTTATGGCCAGCTTTGCCCCTGTCTGCTCTCCCCATGTGACGGTCACCTCTGTGCTGAACCTGACCTGTGCAGGCAGAGCCGGCAGCATCCTCACACATGGATGCGTGGCCATGAAGAGTAAAAACCAGACCAAAAGCATCAGTTCCACCACGGCCCCTGCTACGCCACAACTCATCCCTCCACCACGCAAGTAGCTGCACCTCCGCACTTTATGAGCCTTAAAGAAAGGCTGGAAAATGTTCGACAGGTTTGCAAATTCAAAGGGAAAAAATAACAAAAAGGAAAACCCCGGAGGCCTCGAAAGTTTTGCCAAGGAGAGGGGCAGGGGGAGGAAGGGGCACTCAGGGTGCATTTGCTATTGCTCGTCTTTAAACTGTCTAAAAGATGGCAATTACTCTTCAGCCTGGATGGAGTCTGAGGGCGCGACATAGTTACTGGGGATGTAGCCCGTCTGTCCTGTAGTGAGGGAATGAGCCAGCCACCAGTCACCTTCCCTGCAAGAGAACCAAAACACACTCAGTGTGAAGCCAGGAGCCCCCCGGCCAGTCCCTCTCCCGCCCGCAGGCGCCGGGGCCAGGGTGAGCCAGCAAAGATCCCCGCTGAGAAGGGGTGCAGCCCCCCCAGCCCCCAGCCCCACAGCAGGACCCCAGCCAGGAGGGCTCCTGCTGCCAGCCCCTGCCCATGGCTCTGTTTCGGCAAGCTGTCAGTATTAGGGCCACTCATCTGCATACGGGATGCTTTAAACTGAAATCAGGCAGGGCAGCCATCGAGCCAAAATACCTTCGGAGCCAACCTGAATGCAAAGGGGGCCTGGCTGGAGGTTGAGAGGCACTGGGGATCCAAGGCAGCAGGGCAGCGGGGGGCCACAGGCGAGGGGGGCATGAGGGGAGATGGGGAAAAGCGACAGAACGATGGCAGTGATTAAAAAAAGCACCAGGAATACCCAATAGTTTGTTAAACACAGGCTGCAGAAAAGCAACAAGGGCTGAGGTTTGGGCAGTGAGGGGTGAGACCTGCCCTGCAGTGATGCCCAGCCTGGATGCAGTGGGCTCCATCCAGCTTGGGTGCCCTGGGACAGGCACCCTGCACGGGCGCAGCCCTGACCACAGTCCTGCCTGCATGACTGCTCGCATGGAGCCATGCTCACCCACAGCTCCGAGCACAGCTCTGCCCTGCAGGAGCCCCTGAGACACCCCCAAAAGTCTGGGGCTGACCCACCATCCCTCCTGCCCTGGGCACAGTGGCCCCAAACACATCCCCAGGAGCTGGCTGGGCACGGGAGCCCTCTCACTGCTCTGTGCTCCTCCCTGCAGGCTCCTGCCTGGGATGAGGCAGGAAAGGACAATAAAGAAAGAACAACAGGACAGTGGGAGGCAGCTTCCCCTTCCCCACAGACAGCAGGGCTTCCTCCCACCACCTGATTCTTGCCCATCAGATGGAGTCACCTAATTTATCCTGACCATGAGGGAGACGAGGCTACAGGAAAACTGCAAATTCGTGGGAACAGCACTGCAAGGATGAAAGAACTTGGCAGGATGATCTCCACAAACACTTTACAGAAAAGCCTTAGCAACCTCAATCACCAATAAAAGACATCAGACCATGTCCAAACCCATCCCTGGCTCCTGCAGACATGTAAACCTCCATCCTTGTTCCATCAGCTTGTCACTTTTGCTTGTCCCAGCTAAACCAGAGATGCTTCAAAATGTCCAGGGAAAGGTGGACATGGCCCCCAGTTCCCCACACTGGTGCCAGCAGGGCCAGAAAATGCAGGGACCCTCAGAGCATCTCCTCCCAACCACACAGCCAGGATCTGCTCCCCATCCCCAGCCTCGCAGCAGCCCCAGCTAGTATTCTAACTTCTCCTGGTCCTGGTGTGTCTCTTGGCAGGTAGCTTGGGCTCACCAGCCAGAGCTGCTGCCCCAGTCACCTTTATTGAGGTGGCTTTGAAGGGGACAGGAGGCTGGTTGGGCTCCTTTCCCACGGGATTGGAGAAAACATCTGCTTGAGAAATATCCAGCTTTTGACTTCTGGCTTTATTCCAGCTTGGACTTCAAGCTGGGAATTCAGCAAAAACAAACTATTTCAAAAATGTCTCAAAAAAATAATAATCATCATCATCAAAACAAAGCATTTCAACAATTCCCTGCACAATCTTACCCAAAATACCCCACCACATCCCTGTGGGCTGCCAGATGGCTGGGAGGAGACCTTCTCCCACTGGAAATAGTACCAGGAGATCCTTTCTGCACTGGGGTGGATGGGTTTGGCCCGTCCAGGAGGCCAAGGGTCACTGCAGACAGTTTGGGCTTTGCCAGGACACAGGAGCAGGGATGTGGGTGACATGGAGGCCTCTCCTCTGGCCCTACACAACCCCAGCCCTGTTAGAGCAGCCAAAAACCTGCAGCCACCCTGCAAAGCCACTGGTGGCCAGTTGTCCCCATGGCTGTGGGCTCCTGCTGCGCCCAGACCTGCCAGCCCTTCGTGGGCTGACCCCAAGCACCCTCCCCACAGCCCCAGGGCACCGACTGTGCCCTCCCAGGGAGCCCAACGGAACGTCACATGCCTGGCTTTTGCTGTCTTCAAAGCGCAGCAGCCCAAGCTGCTCCTGGACCACCAGAGCGTCTTGGGCACTCAGTGAGAAGAGATTTAGCCTCTGAGCACTGCATAAACTGCACAGCTTTCTCCACCATCTCTCCCCCTGTGGCCATCCCTCCCATGCAGCTGCAGCACACACCGGGAAGGTCAGCAGCTAGATCCTGCACTCACACCAATGGGCTGCATCGCCAAAAAAAGCCCTTGTGCTCCCCAGGATGCTGCAGAGCCCATCACACCCTGACTCTTCCCTCTAGTGAGCCTTTGACAAAGGCAGCAGAGGAAAAAAAATATGGAAACCCCTGAAGTGATGTAAATTACCATGAAGAAAAAACCCTCATACGAGCCACAACGGGCAGAGCTCACTTCCTAACAGCCCAAATCAGAACCCAAAGCCTGGGGCTAGTACACTGCTGAGGCTGTAAAATCAAAAAGCACCAAATCACCCAAATTCAGGCTTTTCCTGCAGCGCTGAAGCCCTGTACATCCTGGACTTAAACAAATCACCATTAATAAACAGCATTGGAACAAGGAGAACAAAGATTAAATTGAAAACATGTTTGTTTAACGCTGCCTGACCACTGCAGGATAAATACCACCCCCAGGATGTTCCCTTATCTTTCCACCCTTTGACTCTGCAAAGCTGTTTTGGGTGCCCAGGCTGGACAGCCACAGCGGAGGGCCAGCAAGCACTGCAGACACTAGGGACCCCATGGCAGCCCCATGGCTGGGGACAGGAGGTCCACCAGGCAGGTTCCAGACTGTGTCAGGACAGGCCACATATGGGTTTAATACAGGATCATGTTTAGGAGCACCTTCCAGCTAGTCACACTGCCCTGCTCTACACAGCAAGTGATGGGTGTGCTGCTGTGACCAGGATGGAGATTAAACAAGAGGGAGTCAGACCCCTAGGGAAGTGCTTGAGTCCCCTGAGCCACACACAAAAAAATAAAAATAAAATTAAAAGATGTAAAAATAAATGCAAAAAAGGCCAGGAGGAAGCTGAGAGCCAAGTGAAAAAGGACTGCAGAGAGATGCCAGGCATAGACTAGGAAAGCAGGCCAGGTTCAGAGCTCCTGGGTGCAGACACAGTTGTGGATGGAGAAATTTCCTGGCATGGGAAGGGGCTCCCCCGCTCCGCCCCAGTCGCTCAGGGAAGACAAACCATTGGGCAAACACAAAACCACTGGGGAACATCTCCCAGCCCTGCTCCACCCAACCTTACCCTAACATGGGCAGCAGACAGGCTTTTGCCATTTAATAATAATAGTAATAATCTGGAATACACACCTGACGTCCACTTTTCTTCTAAATGACAGCATGGCACAGAGGAGAGAAAAAAGAGTCAAGAGAGAAGCTGAGATCAGAGGCACCAAGCAAGCACAAGGAAAAGCACCCGTGAAGCTGAGGAGATGTGTCCAGGCAAACGAGAGGGAGCTGAGCGCTGACGGGGACAGGGGGCCAGCAGGGACGCAGCCCATGCTGCAGCAAGCAGAGGAGGTGGATTGGTGACAAGGCTGCAGGGCAACAGTGACCAGCAGCAGGGCTGGGAGGGCATGGGGGCAGGCAAATGATCGCCTGCAACGCTGATGTCCCCGGACAAGTCACCGCATCTGTGCGAGTCTTGGTGCATCCCTCTTCGAACACCCACCACCGGGGAGAGCTGGCCCTGCCGGGGCTGGGCTCAGGGGCTCTGCAGAGGGACAACGGTGGCAGCTCACCCCTGTGAGCCTTGCTGCAGGGACAGGGACACTCACGTGTTGTTAACGATTTGCAGGCGCTCTCCTTTCTTGAAGGACAAGTCTGTTTCGGTCCGGGACTCGTAGTCATAGAGGGCCACGAAGGTGGTGACTCCACCTGCAACAGAGAGCGCTCAGGCCAGGCACAGCCACGGCACTGCCACGGGCACTGCCACGGCACAGTGCTGGGCGACCTCGCTGAGACCCTCCTCTCCCACCGTCCTCCCACCAGACGATAAGACACTGATCTGCTCCTCCTCTAGCTCAGAGCCAGAGTGCCTCAGAAGCAGGAGACCCCATCACCACAAGAAGCAGCTGGAATAAAACCCACAAAGACCCAACAGACCCTCCCTGCCCCGCCGAGCCCCAGCCCACACGGACCAGCCAGCGCCCCGGCACGCTGCGGCGAGGTGACCGTGTCAGAGGTGTTGAAGCCTCCAAAGAGCTTGGACTCGGCAGCCATGGTCCCGAAGGAGCGGCTGGGGGTGCGATGGGCGTCAGGAGCAGCCGCCTTGCTGGGCGTCTGTGAGGCTGGGTAGCCCCCGTGGTGGGCATTGTCCGTGGGCTCCAGGCTGCGTCGGCGCTGGCTGGGGTCTTTGGGCTTGCTCTTGCTGCTCCCCATGGTCCCAGACTGCAGGAGACAGATACACATGCAGAGGGCTTCTATTATTATTATTATTTTTTAATTATTGTTAAGCTGCCTCCAAGGGCTTACATAAGTCTGCCTACTAGGAAACAAAACAACCTCTGGAGTCTGTTCAAGCTTCAGCTGCCAGAAAGTCTGGCCATCCTGTCCTTGCCCTGGGACAGCACTGCCCCTCATTAACGCTGAGCCACCTCCCGCGTGGCCGCCACAGCCAGAGAGACGCGGGGAGCGAGCTGCCAGGGCGTGCAGTGGGAGTGGAGGGAAGCATCCTCACCCGCGGGATTGTGGCATGAGGATGTTGAGCGTGGAGCCTGGACTGGTGCTCAGGAGAGTGGCTGCAGATACCCAGGGGCCAGGTGCCCACTGTGGGATGTAGTTCAGGCCCCTATACAGGCAAGTTTCCTCCTACACAAGGGTTTCTACCAGGGTATGGACAGGAGAAGACAAGACCCAGACAAATATTCACAAGTTTGGATTCCTTCAATGGCAGAAATTTGGAGAACCCATAGCTGCATAGTTCTGCTTGCGCGGGACAGGGAATTAAATGCTGAGGATGTTCCTGTGAAGTCCAAAACGTGCAGCAAACCGGAAAAAAAGTTTAAATCAGGAGCAGTTTCAGGCAGTTAGCGGCGAATGACCAAGGGATCTTGGCATTATATATAGTCATGCCTTCCTTTCCACTCAAGATCATGCTCTATAAATACCTTCAAGGTAATGATATAAATGAAGGAAGGGAATTATTTGTAGTCTCCAAAGATGGCAGGATACCCAGCAGTGTCCTGAAGCTATGGAAGGAAATATTTAGGCTAGATCATGCATGGCAGGAGTGAAAAGGGAGGTGGAGACAACCAGGGAGAGTATCTCTGGTGAGAAAAAACAAGCAGGGAAGGAGCAGAGGAGACAGCCGCTGCTCACAGGGTGTGGATCTGGATGCAGCCACCCACAAGGCTTTGCCGAGGGCTCAGCCTCACCCAACAGATGGTTTTTCTAACCCATGTTTTGAGAGAAACTTGAACCAAGCCCCCACGAGCAGGGCCAGAGCCACAGGGCAGCTCCAGCAGCCTGCACAGCCCCAGCATCATCAGGGCAGAGCCCCCTAGCTCCAGCCATGGGGAAGTTTAGGGGTGCCAGGCACAAGCTCTGCCCCCCTCCCACCTCCCCTCCCCACAGTGAGGGCTTTGCCTGACATCAGGGCTTATCTTTCAAAAGACTTAACATCCATCTACCATTTTCCAGCTACTGTTTTCCAGCTCCCAAACTGCACAGAGAACCAGCAGCATCCCCCGTCCCACTTGCACACAGGTTTGTTTCAGCTGCAACCGTGCTGGTTGGATCAAACCGTGACAGGGTTTGGGAATCTGAATAAACTGATTTTTCAGGCTGGGTATGGCTACAGGAGCCACTCCAGCAGGGAGCAGAGCCTTTCTTCCTCCCTCCTACGCATGCAGGCAACGAGGAGGGACCGATGCCTCTATCTGCCACAGGACCTGGCCCACGCATATCTGTGCTGGGCTTTGGGGGCCTCAGAGCAAAGTAAGGTCAAATATAAACTCTGCAGTTGCAAATCATCGCTGTTGGCAATCCAGAGGCAGATCCCACGGTGAAGGGGAGGGTGGTCTGTCCCATAAATAAATGCACTTTTAAAAGCTTGGTGCAGAAGATACTAAAGCAGAACTGCGGGGGAAAGCAGGACCTTAGAAACGACAAGAAAAAAACCCCACCACTAAGGAAAGTGAACCTCCCCATCCCACACCAGCCCTTCTCTCACCTCCACCCGGGGCTCCGGCACCCGCTGGCACTCCTGGGGTGGCAGCAACAGCACAGGGAGGAAAGTGGGGGCACAGTGGGGCTGTGACCATGCGGCTTGTGACTGCCCACGCGACCGTGAGCCAGGGGCGCAGCTGCTCAGAGTTTCCCCTGGAAGCAGCACTTCCCCAGGCAGGAAAACACCCCAGCTGGGGCGGCAGATTTAGCAGTACTTTGGGGACACAGTGTTCCCCCAAGCACACCCCATGGGGCTGCCAGCCTGGGTCGGCAACTGATTTTATCAGTGCACTGAGAAAAATTAGTGTAAAATAGTCAATATGCCAGAAGCAAAGCACAGAAAGGGGAAGAGTGGAACTCCCAGGCACTTCCCCAGTATCTCCAAAGCAGGGGGGTTCCTTGCCTTGACACCCATTAGCCTGCGGGCACAAAACATGCAACTCCCAGGCATGTCCTGACTGGGAATGCCACGGACTGTGAATTCATCCCTCCTTGTGCCGTGGTTTGGGGGAGGGAGAGCTCTCCGGCACACATTGCAAGCTCCCAGCTCGCGCCTGGGCACTGACCCTCCTTGGCAAGGGCTTTGCTGGGTCTGCTGGTCACCAGGACGTGCTGCTCTGACAGGGCCTGATCGAGCCATCACAGCTTTGGCTGAAGGAGCTGAAGATGGGAGTGGAGCAGAAGGAAGAGGCACAAGCCTGCGGTCCCCTGGGGAAGGGGCTGCAGCACAGCAAGCCCTGCTCCAAGCTCTCCAGCTTTGCACCTCAATACCTGCACACACTTACTGCGATTTGGCTAGTGCAAAATGTAGGCTGGCAACCCCAAAGCTGGCAATCACACCATCCCCACTCTGAGCCCCAGGTAACTCAGCCAAGGTGACTCTGTAGCTGCCCCAGGGAGGATGTTCCCCACCTGTCCCCAGGGAGGAGAGGGAACCCTGAGAAATCCCCCACCACCCTGCATTGCTGCCATTGCCGCCAGCAAGGAAAGGGTGCAAATTCCCCCTGGGAGGAGGCAGGGAGTTGTGCAAGACCCTGGTAGAGGAGTAATTAATGACAGCAGGAATGTGCTGTGCGCTCAGGTCCCTGGGGGAAGAGGGGCCATGCACCAGCCCCACCAGTGGGGAGAGACCCCCCCTGCCTCTGGCAGAGCCAGTGACAAACCCCCCTCCAGAGCCAAGGGGCAGAGAAGGAAGGGGGTGAACCTCCTGTCTGGCCATGCCAGCTCCCAGCACATCCCAGTAGCATCACTGGGAGCTGTAGGAGAGCATCACAGTGGCCAGATTGCAAAAAATACCCCCTGCCAGCAGCTATGCTGTATTTATGTCTAAAGTACGGTATTTCTACGTGTAACAGGCTGCAGGCATGCTCAGAGCCACCAACATCCAGCCAGGGCTGCTGCCTGACAGCGCATTTCCCTGCTCCCGTGCTTTTTGCAGCTGACAGCGCTGGGGTGGGATGGGGGGCTCAGCGCTGCTCCCCAGCCCAGCCGGTGCCTTGGCTTTCGGCAGGGCTTCCCCTCCCGCGGTCTGCACGGCAGCGGCAGCGGGCTGGAGCGTGGCCAGTATTCTTGGCGCTCGCCTCCGAGTGATGCGAGGCGGCGTATGGAGGCAGCTTTCCTGCGGCGGGGATTAGCACCCCGGGCACGTCGCAGCCTGCAGGAACTCCCCTGCTTTCCGCTCCCCGGGGTCAGTGCTGGCGGCACATCGCAAACCACATCGCAAACCACCGTGGTGCTGAGTTGCGCGGCCTCAGCTCTGCCCCCACGCACCAACCATGCCATGGGGAGCACCCGGGGGTGAGAAGGACGAAGGGAGGGCTCTGCCTTTTGCTCTTGCACCCAGCACCCTACCCACCCAGGGATGCTCAAGGGACAAATCTGGCTGTTGCAGAGCACCCAATACCCCAGACCTGAGCCCTGCCATGGGGCCGGAGGGGTTTCCCTTTTCCCAGGTGGGTTCATTCAGCAAAGCAGCCTGGTCCCCCCTCCCGGGGCCGTCGGAGATGCCTTACCAGTGCTTTCTGGCTACAGCCTCACTGCGGGGTGGGGAGGGGCCGCCGGCGAAGTCAGCTCAGCTCCCGTTGCAGCCTGCGAGACAGAGGGGATGTCAGCACCCGCGGCAGCCACCGCCGTCCCCGCATCCCGCCGCCCTCTCCCCCCGTGCCACGGTCTGGTGCCCAGGGCTGCCGCTGCCTTCTTCCTTCTTCCTCCTCCTCGCCATCCCTCCAGCGTGGGGCCGGCAGCTCACACCCACTTGCTCTGATCTCTCATGTGTGAAGAGGGGACGATTCTCTGCTCTACTTCATCAAACCCACCCGGGGATGGGAGAGGAGGTGGCTGGAGCTGCCCCGAGCAATGTCGCGGGGTGAGAGGGGAGCACAGGCACCCCCAGCCCGCCGAGGCACTTTTTCAGGGGAGAAGTAGAGCCACTTTCCTCTGGACACAGCAGTGTTTTACAGCCCTGCCGCTCCACCTCCAGATGGCTGGGACCAGTGGCTGGGAGGGTTGGCCACCAACCAAGGACCTTGTCCCTTGGGATGAGAGTCACCAACCCCAGCAGCACAGATGTGCTACGGCATGAACCACGCACAAGGCATGGGACCACCTTGTGCTGCTCAAGCCCTGACTCAACTAGAAAAGCATGCTTTGGCCAAATTTTCAAAAAGGAGAATTTCCTGTCCCAAGTGAACATGATGGGGCAACACCTGTCAGCAGCAGTGGCCCAGGGACAAAATGGTGGCTTTGGGACAAAAGCAGAGCAAGGCAGGGTCCTACAGAGCCAGAGCAGTCACTTGCCTGGCTCTGCCACCTGCTCCCAGCCCCAGATTCTGCAGGAATTGCCCTTTCTCCCCTCTCTCATGCAAAAAAGGAAATCTCTCTCCAGCCAGCCCTGCTCACCCAGTGCTGGGCAGGGGCTTCAGCAGCCCCCGAGTGACTCCCGCTTGCCTGGAGGATTCAGCCCCTGCAGCACCCCCAGCTTCACAGCCCCAACCAGCATCCCAACAGGTTCCTGTCCTGGCTGGAGCCCAGGTTTTACTCTCATCCAGGGGTAACATCCCAGACGGATGGGGACATGGTGGGCAGATTTTTGCTGCCCTGGCATCTAACCTGGCTGGCAGCAAGCCTAGAAGTCAGACCAGGCACAGCCTCCTGCCTTCACCCAAGGGCCTGCAGTCACGAAGGTGTAGTGAGGAGAGGGCTCAGACAGAGATGGCAAGAAAGGAAAAAGCTGCTGCTACCCCAGCCTCCTTCCAGCTGCTGCCATCACAGCCTCCTCTGCCCCAGCTGCCCCAACCTGACCTGCTCAGCCCATGCATTACCTGCACCACTGCGCATGGCCCCATGGGGTGCACACCAGGCTTGATACGTTGCAAACACCGTGGCATGATGGTGGAAACCACCAAGCAAACCTCCATGGGGTCAGTGTAATGCCGGGCAGCTGCCCCATGTCCCTCTTGCTGGGTGGGTGCCTGGGGCAGTGGCTGCCACGAAGGGGATGTGCCACACCGCAGGTTTATTCCCCTTCCCCCCTGGTAATAAGTTTTGTCACTATTTTTAGTGCATTTGATTAGGATAATAAGCAGCAGCTGATTGACAGCTCTTTAAGACTTTGAATGGTTTGTAATTTGTACTTGACTAATATTCACCAGCAATAATTGCACAGCGGGATGGAAGGTGGGGGAAGCTGCAGTCTCAACTCCAGGCTGCAGCACATACAAATAAGGCTGCGCCGTGTACGCACGTGGTGCCCGTGTCCCCGCCGCCCATGCACACTGTGCCACTTGGGTTCCCGGGCACATGCTGCGAGGCCACGGCCATGTTTAGATAAAATAGGACCAAAAAAACCACCAGGGAAACCCAAATATGCCTTAGCCTGGGGTCAGCCACGCGCTGGGGTGGCAAGGCGCAAGGTCCTCTGAAGAGGAAGGGACAGGTCCCTGTGTGGCTGCCAGGCAGACGGATGCACGTACATCCCTCACACTCCCAGGTTTGGGTATTTGGTGGCTGAAAGCTCTGGCAGAAGCCTGACACAGCCCTCCTTTCTGCCCTGTAGCAGGGCTGTGATCCCAGCCAGCACATTGCCGGCATGGCTGGGCTCAAGCACCCTCCAGCACTGCCATCCCCACGTGCTGCTGGGTTCTGTATTCAGGGTCTCCCTGGCCCCCCCAGACGCCCCCAGGCAGTGGCTGGGCTGAGCCGCAGCCAGAGGAGAGAGCGCCAGGGCTGAGCCCCTCCACATAACCTGCCCAGGGCAGAGGCCACAGCAAGGAGAGAGCCCCAGCAAGAAGCCACCCCCACCCTCCTCTCTCCAAAAGCAATTAAAAATGAAGCACACTCAGCTGCACAACTCAGCTCAGATCAAATCATGGCACACAAGACAGCGGCACCCTTGTCCTCCCCCACCGGCGCTGGAAATGCCGCCCGACCTGCCCAGCATTCCTGCCCCTCTGACCCGCGCCCCCGCGGGTTCTGCCCCCCCAAACTAACTGGCAAGTTGGGATGTGAGAAAAGGCTCGACCCACTGCCCTACCTCCCCACGGCAGAGATGCTCTTGGAAAGACAACAGCGAGGGGAACCGCTGCTCTCCAACAGGTCCCGCTCCGGCTGTTTTCTGCTGCTCCCCGATCACTCAAGGATACAATGGCCGTGGTAACGCCAGGCAGATAGCAGGGCTGGCGAAGGGGGAAGCGATCTTATCTTCTTTTCAAAGACACTAACAAAAGACACTGATTGGGAGCAGACAAAACACAGCAGTACGGCTTCTGCAAGGCAGAAGCAGAAACCTTGGGAAATGCCGCGACAGGCTGGGGCCCAACACCAGACACCAAGCCGTGGGGAGAGACACATCTCCAGCAAAACAAGACCTGTCCTTGGGGCTGCTCAGGAGGTGGGTGGGTGCTGAGGGGCACCTCCAGCAAAGGGGATGGGGAGGGTGCTGGGGGAAAGGTGGGCGAAGGTCTGGGGCACCAGCACCCACCCGCTGCCGGAGGGAGCCAAGCCACGTCCCTGGCTTGCAAAGCCCCAGTGAGATTAATAACTGCAACTGTCTCACACCAGACTGAAAAATGAAGCGTGCAGGACAGAGGGCGAGACAAAGCAGTCTCACAGCACCCAGCCCACCGCAGCAAGCACTGGGGATGGGAAGGAGCAGAGAGCCGCGGTCCCAAACCCACCCCAGCCCACTCCATACCCCTTTGTGCAGAACCCCCCCTCCCAGCAGAACCGGGGTCCAGCTGGGGCAGATCTGTGCAGAACAAACAGAAGCTGCCTGCGAGATGTGTTGTTAAAGCCAGATCCCAGGTTGGAGGCAGGCAGGCAGGCAGCCGAGAGCTGAAGGGCACCTGGCCGTCCCCTGCGTCCCCCTGCACAGGCAGCACAAAGAGGCGGCAGCACTGCCCCTGCGACGGCAGCACCCAGACAGCGGGGTCAGCACCCCAGCACCGCGCCATGGGTGACGAACTACTGCTTGGTCGGTGCTGCCGTAACCACTGCGAGGTGGTACCTGAACAGCCCACACCCTGTCCCTCTCCCCGCATCGCCCCCTGCTCCCTCCCTGCATTTTGGTAGGAAAAGCAGCCTCAGACATGCTCACAGTGGTTTCCCCCTTGGTCCCAGGGGATGCTAATGGAGTTTTGCCTTTTCCCATGGCAAACATCACGGCTGTAACAGCAGTACAGCCCCTGGCTCAGCCCACCATCGCCTCCTGACACCCAAATACAGCAGGTCACCCTGTTCCCCATGGAAAAAGCGATCCTGTCCCCTGTCCCATGATAGCAGGCTTTGCTCGGTACAAGGGGAAAACATCGAGGCATGTCTCTGCCAGGCTGGGACCAGCCCTGCTGCAATGAGTCCCAAGGGCTGGTGAATAATGGGGAGCTGCTTCCCTGGCCCCGCAAACCAGTTTGATGCTGCAGACCCTCTCCCTGCCTGGCTGACGCTGTGAGGGCCCGGGTTGCGCCTCCAGCCCTTCTCCTCTGCAAGGACACTTGTTTCTCACCTGCACTAATTCCTAAAGGAGAAGGAGAGATGCAGAGATGCTCACTTCATCTCTCACCTCCAATTCAGGGACCAGGGAAGCCACAGGCAGCTGCCCCCATGTCTGCCCAAGACCCCCACTTCGCCCAGCAACTGCATGTCGAAGGCACATGAGTTAAGGCACCCCATCCCCCCCAGCTGACAGAACACTCTCCCAAATGACAGGAATCACTGGCAGAGGAGAGGGGAGGGGCAGCACGGCTGCTGTGCAGGGGCCTGGCTACACACTCCCCACATATCTAAGTCCCAGTCCCTCCCATCTGACCCTGTCAACTCCCGTTAAATTTAAAACCATCTTAATTAAAGCTCCACAGCCCAAGCTAGCAGGGGCCAGTGGGTCACAAAAGGGGAAAGGATAATTAAATCTGCCATCCAAATTTATCCCCCCAAGCATGGGGGAGAGTCGTGGTCCAGAGCAATGCAAAATGCCTCCAAAAAGATATGACAAAACAGGGAGTTTAGAAGACCAAAACAAACCCCTGAGAACCCCAAAAGCAGGATCTGGATGTTAATCTGGCCAAGAAACTGGGAAACACCAACACACACACAGGGAGCTGTGCAGGGACCTCGAGCTCTCCCCACCGTTGCAGGACTGGCCCCTTGACAGGCAGATTTTGGCTGGCCGGGGCGATGAGCAGCAGCTCTGCCAACACCAGCAGCTGCACACAGCCGCAGGCAGTGCCTCCCACAGCACCCTGAAGCCGGGTGAGGACAGTGGGCACCCTACATGCACCATCTTGTGTAAGACGCAAGAAAGTCGCAAGCTTTATCTCCCTGAAATAATGCAAGCGGCTGCCCGGAGCAAGAGGGATGTGTGGCAAGTTGTGCTGCTTGGTGCCAAGCTGCTGAGCGCTCAGTTTTAAGCCTTTTTCTCCCCCAAGGGATGGGAGAAGGGAAGGTGGCCATTGCCATGCTGTGTCACATCCCCATCACTGCACTGCAGCAGACCTGGGTACCGATGGGGCCACGTCTTCAGATCTCCTGGCGTGTGGATGTGGGAATCCTGGGCTGACCCACAGTGATGCTCACCCAGAGCCCCACGCACCAGATCCCTGGGAGCAGGCAAAGCTGTGTGCGCTCAAAGCTTCCACCGAGGCAGTGGGATTTTAATCTACATCACTAAGTGGCATGGAGGGCTCTGGGGAGAGCAGGCAGCCACCCTTCCTGACCAGCACACGACTGAGAAAAGCTTGTGGGAGCTCCTGGCACAGCACTCCCCGGCATCCCCCACGGAGCCCTGCTGTGTGGTGGGTGGGTGCTGGGAACTGCAGCCCCTTGCAAAGGGCTGCACGGGGAGCTGCTGCTGCAACAAGGGAGCATGGGCAGCCAGCGGTGCCCCATCACCCCTTCTCACCCCCATGCAGCAACAAAGCCACCCCAAAAACCAGGGCTCTCACAGCTCTGCCAACCCCACGCTCTGGTCCAAGGGAGACCCCCCAGGTTCAGGGTGCTGTAAGAAAGCGTTTGGGGTCAGGGAGGAAACAAAAGTCGACTGAAGGGTCCTGGAGCCCCTGCTGTCCCTGTTATCCAAGCACAAGCACTTTGGGAGAGCTTTGGGATGGAGAGCAAACACACAGGTCCTGAAAACCCAGCCCAAGCCTGCTGCTTGCACACACAGAAGAAAGAGGAGCCATGGGGGAGAGGGGAGCACCTCACATACCCCATCCCCTTCTGCACTGCAAGAGCATCCTGACAATTAGAGATGGGGAAAAAAAAAAAAAAAAGCTTTCTCAACACAAGGGTGGTCCAGTACAGGAACAGGGTTGGAGAGGTGGTGGGATCTCCAGCAGGAGATGCTCAAAGCTGGCCAGGCGCCGTGCAGCCTCACCTCGCTGGCGCTGCTCCGCATCGGAGCAGGGATGATGCCTACCAGTGCCACCCAGCCCGACTCAGCCTGTGCTCCCAGAATTCCCACCAGGACACCAGCCAAAGTCAGGAGTTGCCTAACCAGCTCCAGCAAATGCTTTCCAAGGGCATACAAAGCCTTTGGCCTGTGTTAACCTGAAGCCGGCTTCTCCCAAGCAGGTGATGAGGGCACCGCTCTCTTCCTGCCAAGCACAGGAGAATGAAACAGAAAGGAAATGCTTCCAAGGGCAGGAGTGCCTGCGGGGCCGGGGAGCACCGATGTCGAGCTGGGCCAGCACTAGGAGCTGGAGGTCCCCAGCCACTGGGATTGCCTGGAGCCACAGGGTGATGCTTCCCCAAAAGAGCCCTCCAGCTCAGCACTGGGGGTTCAATGCCCCCCCTAAATGTACATTTTTAATACAAGCCCCTAGGCATGCTGGCATCCACGTGCTCCCACCCAATTCCCCAGCTTCCCATGGCCCATCACATCAACACTGTTCTGTCTTCCAAGCAAAGCACCAGGCTGAGGGGCCAGCCCCGCTGGAGGGGGGAGATGAGGACACTGTGACACAAGTTGACCTCTCAAGGAAGAGGGAGGATTTCTGTTCCCCATTTCTGCAGCACCTCTCCCAGTGCCGCCAGCCTCAGGCTCCAGGAAATGGGAGTTTGCTTCTGCTTTCTGTAAAGGGACATCTGCCCTGGGTGCTCTCTGGGGATGGCCATGGTGCAGCACCCAGCCCACCCTGTGCTTCCACTCCTGGGGAAGGGGCAGGTGGCAGTGAGAGGCTGATGTCACTCACGGGTGCCTCAGATCCAGCCAAAATGTTGCTGCCACCTGTGCGTGCCCCAGCTCGAGGGCTGCCGCACCCAACAGCACCCAGAGAGCCGCAGCAATCTCACCCCCCCAGGTGAGGACAGCAGTGCAGGCATGCGGCAAACCTCCAGGCCTGGGGGAGGAAGGGGGCAAGGAACACGCAGGAGGCAGAAAAGCTCCGGATCTGAGCAAGTTACAACCACCCCTGGCCATGCTGGCGTCACTGCTAAAACATTTCCACTGTCAGAGAAACCAGCCCATCCAGTCCAGTGAGGAGAGGAGCTCCCCAGGGCTCCACCAGCCCTCGGGGGCTGGAGCTGCAGCCCCACCGGCCCTGCAGAGGGGTCCTGCAGGACCCCCATGGCAGAAAACCTCCCAGCAACCCTCCTGACACGGAACAGGAACTGAAACACTTGCTGGTAAACAAGAGAAAATGCAGGGAGGGTATGTGCACCCTCAACACAAACCCCGTGGGGCTGGGCATCGCCTTGCTCCTGGCTGGAGGCACGACACGAGCTGGGGTTCACTGCAACAGGAGGGTATGAAGAAGCCAAGCAGAGGCCATGGATCACCCATTTCCAACATTTCCCACTTTGCAGATCCCTGAACAATTTCAAACGAATCCCATGCAGCAAATTTATGCTCATTATCAGTTTATTTTCCCGGGTTACTATGGGATGCTGAAGCACGTGCACGATGCAAGTCGTGTGCTCTGGGGAACCATGGGGCCACCAACCCTAACGCACACATGCCACGGGGGCAGCAGGTGGCTGCAGGGCAAGGCTCGGTGACCAGGACCAGCCTCCAGCAATGTCCACTCGACTCCCACTTTCACTTGGATGGGACTGGGAGCAGC